AATCTCATTTTATCGATGAAACTGACTCTCACAGATCTTAAATAACTTGCCTAAAACCATCAAATAGATAGAGACAGCTAGCTAACACAGTAGATTGAACTCTGGGCCTGAGTCAGGAAGACCTGAGTTCAAATCCAGCCTGAGAAGCCTGTCACTTAACCATTCTGAATCTCAAATTTGTTTGGGTGTTGTGAAGAAAATTCTTTGTAAGCTTTGCTGACTTTCCCTGCTTTGACCTCCCACTAGCTTAAAATATTCTCACCCTTCTCAGATTTTCATTTTCCTAGAATATTTTACATAGATTTCTCCCATACCTTTATCATACCCTTCTTCATATGACATTTATTTTCTTGTGTCTCTCTGTGCTCTGCCTCTTCTCCATGCCATGGTACAATTTAAGCTCCTTAGAGGTAGCCTGTTGGCACAGTAGATAAAACAGAGGTAGGAAGATCTGAATTCAGATCCTGCCCCAGACACTCACTAATTATATGGGCCAGACCTTTAGCCACTTTCAGCCTCAGTTTTCTTATCTACAAAAGAGGGAACATAATAGCACTTGTCATAGAGAATATTATGTGATGAAATATGTAAAGCTTTGCAAACCGTAAAGTCCTATACAGATGCTCTGAGTTACTATTATTATTATCATTATCGTGATGATGATGATAAATGTCATTTCTCAGTTTTTTATCTCCCACTGTGAACATTGCTTTTCACATAATTGGTGTTTAGTGACTTGTGCTTTGAATGAAATTTTAAAATTAAAAAGTGCTGTAGAAATAGGAGTTGTTGCTGTTATTTCCCTCTGTGGCCCCCATGGTGCTATTCTTATAGCAGATAGCCTAAAAATATTGGTTAATGATGATGACCTCATGTGGATTGTAATTATTAAAATTTGGGAAATTTGGGATTTTTGACCAGGACTAAAATCAATGGTGTTAAAGTACAAACCTCAAATCATGAATTTTTAACAGGAGTAAAATTGAAAAAAAAATATGAGAATATAAACAAATTTAAACTCTTGAGATGGTTGGCAAACACAAAAGATTTTATTTTTAACATTGACTGTCTTGCTGATTGTGACTTTTTTAAACTTGTCCCATTGTTTCTGCTCCTAACTGCCAGCTTACTGAAACTCTCTTTAACACAATGGTAAAGGAAACGTGGCATCCTAAACAAATAGACCAAGACTCCAGTCAAATCCTGCCATTGTTAGACCCAAAAGCCTTATTAGTTAAACTGTAGTGGGGCATGGGACGAGGTCATAATTCATCTTAATATAGCAAAATGCTTTTTATGAAGCCTATGTCATAAGATGAGAATAGAAACATGTATTACAAGCTTTCATTCATTTGATAAATATTTACTGAGTGACTGATGTATGCACTGGATCCTGTATAAAATGGAGAGGAGGGAAGAGGAATAATAATGCTAATAATATAACAATTATATTAATAGCTAAAGTTTATATATTATATATTGTATAGTGTTTATATAGTATATAAAATGTATATGGTACAAGATGCTAGGTGCTCAGTGCTTTACAAGTTTTACCTTCATTTAATCATCATGACAACCCTGGGAGGTAGGGGCTATTATTATTCTCATTTTGCAGATAAGGAAACTGAGGCAAATGGCAGTTTGAGACACTTGTACAGTGTCACACTGCTAGTCAGTATCTGAGGCTGGATTTGAACTCAGGTCTTTTTGACTCCAGGCCCTGCATTCAATCCTCAGTACCAGTCAGCTGCCCCCCTCTTTTGTTCCTAGCTGGATAAAAATACAAGGAGAAAAAATAATCCTTATCCTAAAAGAACTGCATTCTAATGAGGAAAGACAACACATATATAAGAAATGGGATTATATTAATACTGCCTATTTCACAGGACTGTTCTTAGTATAAAATAAGATAACATACGCAAAGTATTATGTAGATACTAAAAAACAATCATAAAAGAAGGCTGGAAAGAGGGTAGGAGATACCATCCATTTGGGGCAAAGATACTAGTGAGGTGATAGAGGGGACTGGAGAATCAGGAGTCAAGTCAGGAGTGAAGGGAACTTAGCCGAGGCAAATCATGACCTGTTGGTACAGCTCACAAAGTCACCCGATCCGAATAGAGGACCACAGGGCAGAGTCCTGTCTAGGGTGAGAAGACTGCTGGTGGCCAATAAGTGTCAGAGGTAAGATTCAGACTTAAACTTTCTGACTGTAGGTCCAGCTCACCTTTCTGTTATACCACACCAAAAGAAAGGCTTCCAAATACTTGGTTTTCTCTCTAGCAATGTTGTGAATGACTCTTCTTTTTTTTTTTTTCAATTGAACAACCATGGTTTTTCTTTAATGGCTAGGCTGAGATTTGCAGAGTAGGTAATTTTGAGTTGCATCTGGAGGCCCTTACTCTCCAGAACACATTATTCTATTCCCTTCTGTGGTTTCTAGTAGGGACAAAATAGTTTTGTTGTTTGAATTTCTTTTCCTTTATATTTAAAAATCTTTCTCCTAGTAGCTTGTAGAATTTGTTGTCCATGTTAATTTTAACCACTATGTGTCCTGGAGTTTGCACAATAGTTTTTTGTTTGTTTCTGGAGGTGATCTGTGCATTTTTTAGATTGGGACTTTGTTTTCTGTATTCAGAAATTCTGGGCAGTTTTCTCGTATTATTTCTTACATTATGGTGTTCGTGGTTTTTGGCATGTCATGTTCTTCTGGGGACCTACAATCTTTAAGTTTTCTGTGAGCATTCTGTCTTTGAAATCAGTATGTTTTGCTTGTATGGAGATCACATTTTCTTTTAATGTTTTTGCTTTTTGCTTCTGTTCTTCCACACTGTCCTTTACTTCCTTGTATTTGCATTCCAAGGTAGTTATCCTCTGTTTTGTTTCTTTAGTGGGACCTGCCACAGTGGATTCAAGTTTTTCTATTCTGGCAGGTATTTCCACTGTGCAGGCCACAAATTTTGCTTTCAAAATTTTTACTCTCTTTTAAGCTATTTAAGAGCATACTTTCTTTGGAATCCACAGGGCCCTCTGCCTTATCAGGCATTGATTCATTTCCTTTGTCTTATAATATTTATTTAGGAATGCCTGAACTTTTTTCTCTGATCAGTAGCCCATATTTCTTTCTTTTATTATTATCTTATCTGTTGGTTTGTGTGCTTTATGTTCAAGGTCTTTAAGTGAGTTTTTTTTTTATTCCTAAGATCTTTGGTAATTTCAGCAATTTTCCTTACTTTTTCCTTTTGCTCACTTTCTAACTCTCTCCCCTTTAATAGTAGTTTCTTTCAGGGCTGTATCTAAAAGTTGTCTCAATTTTCTCTCACAATGGGCAATTCATAGTTCACCAACTGCGGTCTTTGCCACAAATGGCTTGTGAGGGGACAGAACTGACCCCAGCTAGATAATTTTGCCTTTCCTTAGTGGGATGCCACAGAACTTCACACATGTGTTCTGCCTCAGGTTCCTCTGTCCCTCAGTTCTTCAGCTGAGCTCTGTTGTGGCATACAACATTGTTGTGCTCTTAGCTTAGACTGAGCATATTTCTGCTTTTTGGATCTCTGACACCCCAGGAAGGAGTGCGGTTGTTGAGTTGTGGTACAAGCCTGTGCATTAGCTTGTTTGGGACTGGGCAGTGGGTGAGTAGATACTGAGAAAGCATGTTAAAGATTAGTAGTATTGTGTTAGTTTATCAGATTTTTATCTTGTTTCTGTTCCTGGGTTCCTAAACTGTGGAGGCAGCTGAAATTGCTTTATCTCTTACTCATAGCTTCTATTTTGGAGAAGTTTCAGAGAAGTTATGAAGATAAGAGAAAGTATTTAGTACTCCATCTTCCAGGGAATTGTTTTTAAAAGAGTCCTGACACCAAAAACAGCTAACTCCTCCAGCCCTGTTAGAGTTGTCTTTAAGAACCACATCTGAGAGCACAGGAATCCAGGTTCACCAGTTCTTATATTTAGAAGGGCTGCTTCCTGGCCTGAGGTTTATTTACATTCATTTTAGAAGGAGGGCCTGAGTTTTTATAGTCACAGGGGAAGAATAAACTGTCTTCAGTTTTTCTTTGGAATACTCTATTTAAATAGGCAATGACATTTCCTTTTTCAACCAGAACCTATTAAAAAAAATAAAAATGACTTTTTCTTGCCAATGTAGCAACATAAGAGATTTTGTTGATTTCCTAGTGTTAGGAAAATGAAAGTGAATGTAGTCTCAGCCCACGAATAGATAAACATCCCTATAGTTGGGAGGTTAAATAACAATTAGCATTGACAGACTATTGTAAAGTTTACAAAGGCTTTCCTCATAACATTACTGTGAGGCGATGATTCCAATGTTATTTACTCTATTTAACAAGTGAGGTAGGTTGAGAAGTGAAATTGCTTCCCTAGGCTCACACTGCTAATAAAAGAAAACCAAGTTTCCTGGTCTACTGGTCTTCCTACTTCCTGAGCCTGCCTTCTCTGATTTGACTGTCTCAATGAATAGAAATACATAAATAGAAATCTAAGGAATACAAAAGTTAAATACATGCCATATCAAAGGTGTCTTTTTGTGTACAAAGTTAATATTACAACACATTTTCCTTTTAAGCAAATGAGAGTCCACTGTCCCAAGTGATACTTGCCTTTTTTGAATCACAGTGAAGACTTCTCCAGGTCTCCTTCTCCAGGGTTTTTTAACCTAGGATCTGTGAATTTAAAAACAAATGACAAATACTTTTCAGTATAATTTTTTTTCTTTTGTAATCCAAAGAATTTTATTTTATGCATTTAAAAAAATATTCTGAGAAGGGGTCCAAGCTGCCAAAGGGGCCCATCTCACATAAACACACACACACACACACACACAGATTATTAAACACCTGCTCTGGTAACTTAAGCTCAACCATTTATTTGTAGGCCCAAAAGCTTAGTTACCAGAGCAGGGATTTCATGGAATGAATAGAATTCTCCCATTTACTATTTCTTGTTTGTTTTGTTTTTCTTCCCCTCTTGTTTTACAGGATGACTTCCTCTTAATACATTATGATAAAGGACCTTGTCGGAACAAGCTTGGTCACTCCAGAGCATCTGTAATCTGGCACAGAACGCAGGTGGGCACCAGTGTTTTTTTCTCAAACTGGAGTACTGTGATTTCTGGCTTTGTGTTACTGCGTGTATTATTTGTTAATGACATCACGAGGACATAGTAAGTGGCTAGTTGGATGCACTGGATAGGAAGTTGAAGTATTGTTCTCCTGAGCCTGGTTATTGGTCATAGACTTGGTTTCAGGAGCCCTGAGCTAGCCTTATAGTGAAGATATTCTTCTTAAGATATTGCATGAATTTTTTTTAAAATCCACCTAAATTTATAATTGCTTAAGCTTTAACTGGTGATGAGATTTCCATAGAAGACACTAGCAGAATCCAAGTAAGCATTGAAATGGGATAACAGTCTGAAAAGGAAGTGGGAAAATCCACATGAGATGATTAGGTTTAAAGGGGCTTTAGAGAAGCATCCAGTTCACCTGATACCCCAACCCCCTAATATCACTAATGAATAAACTAAGTCTCAAAAAGGAAAAGTGACTAAGGTTACACAAGTACTATCCAGGGGTAATCTCCTTGTGCCTACTTCTTCATTTGTCAATTGAGGTGAACGCCTTCACTACCAACTTCACAGGGTTATAAGGAGAGCTATTTAGAACTGGAAGGGAATTTCGAGGTAATGTGATTTAATCTTCCATCCCCAATTATAGAGGAAGAATCTAAAACTCAAAGACAAAAAAAAAATAATTTGTCCAAATCTCTATCTACTTAGATACAAAGTAGCAGAAATGGGATTTGGATCCAGTTATTCTAAAACTAAATCAAGGGTTCTTTCCACTGCATTTCATAGCTTGAAGGGAGAAGGTATGATGGGAAAGGGGTGGCCTGTTAGTTTGCAACTATGATAGCACTATGTATACATATGGATGATAAGACTGGATGGAGGGAAGGTTCAGTCTCTTCATGTGTATAATTCAGGATTTGGACCAAATGACCTTCAAGGTCTTTTTCAGCTCTAAAAATATTTTAATTGTATGACTTGTGAAAAGTTGTCCCCTCTGAAACTTGTTACAGGAAATGACTAGCTTTATGTGACTGAAAATTAATTTACTTTTCAAAATATTAAAAATACCTTCAGAGTAAACTGTAAACATAGAGGATAGGCCCTGCTAAGAAGTTCCTTCTTAGAACATTTTCTTATGCAGTTCCAAAAAAAAAAAAAGTTATGGCATTTTAAGAATCTCAAAGATTCCTGTGAGCTATTTGGGAAACAGCCCAAGAGTAGAGGGTAGGAAAATACACACACATACACACACACACACACACACACACACACACACACACACACGTATGTATGTATGTATGTATATGTATGTAGATATATAGATATATCACTACAATGGGCCTTCATTGCATCCTTTTTTTAACTTTTAACCCCACATATCAAATAGTCTTTACATGATTCCTTCCCCGATAAACATTCATTAACAAGATATTCTCCTGCTAGAGGATAACCAAATTTCAGGTCGCCATACTTGGGGTATTTGTTCAGGCTTTAATATCTTTCTTTAGTGTTACAGCGCCCCCTGGTGAAATAACAATTTCTGCAAGTAGTAATAAGAAACCCATCCATAATTTAGCAAGACTGAAAAATTCTCCTGGGAGACCAATATATTGGTGATTTATTTTGCAAAATGAGAAGGATCTATGATTTGGAAAGCACTGAATGAATTTCTCTACCAAGGCAGATCTCAACCTTATCTAATACTTATCTAAGATAAGTCCTAGGGAAGCTGCCTGAGGTATGCAGAAGTTAAGTGAGTAATTTGCCACAGGTAGGGTTAGAAGCAGAAATTGAACCCAGATCTTCTTGACTTCAAATCCTGAATTATATCCAGTAGGTCATTGTATGTGGATTATTAGAATGCCATTGACTAATTACTTTTGATTCTATATCCTCTTAGGCCTTTGATCTGTCTTCTTTGATTCTATAATAAAAAAAAAATATTTTCACCCTTAATAGGGGGTAGAGTAGGGAACAGGCATTTATTAAGTGCCTACCATATGCTAGGCATCACGTACTAACTTCTTTACAAATATCTCATTTGATCTTCACCTTTGATGATGATAACTCACATTTGTATAATGTCTCCTCCACCAGTAGTTTTTTGATGCTTCTCAGTGGCTTTCAAAGGCTATACCTCCCCAATTTCCATAAGCTTTGGTAAATAATACCAAGTCAGAGAGGCCTCAAGAACAGTATTAGTGGCAGAGGATGTAGTCTTCTGAGCATTAATCAGACTGAGTTCTGTGAGTCTCAGTACTAGATGAGTGGCTATCAGGTGATACTTTTTGTTTTTCTTTTAAAGCAATAGCAAGCTATCAAACGACCTGCTAAGGTATGGAAGGGTTGTGCTCTGCAGAAATGCAGGAGATAACTAAATAAAAAAATACTCACATCTTGAGTGAGCCCATTATACTTTAGTGTATTTCACAATGACTCCATTGGTGATTATGTGGCCAGGATTGGATAATGGCCGGCCAGGCTGTTCCTGATTGGTGAAATAAATTATTGGTGAAATTGGTGAACCAGTCGATGAAACTCATTTTAACTAGTCAGCCCCAGGCCCAGCTATGCTTTTTGTACCTGGCCTTTTCTGAGCCTGTACCCCTGTATGTGCATGTATATACCATCCCTCCTCCACTAATCTCTGCCTGCCCTTCCCCATTCATTTCTTTTAACTTTTGCTCTGAGACCTGCAGTTAAAACAAAAAGAACATTGCTTCTGAAAAAGCTATGTCAATTTGTTGTGCCACTCTCCTTCTTTGCGATTTCATAGACTAAAATACTTCTCCCAGGCCACCACTCCCATTTATTTATGTATTTATGCATTGTTTCTCTCTTGTAATCAAGGGTTCTTCACCTTTTTTGTGTCATGGACCCTGTTGGCAGTCTGGTGAAGCCCTTTTCAGAATAGTTTTTAAATGCATAAAACAAAACTCATGCGATTACAAAGGGAAACATTTGCATTGAAATATAGTTATCAAAATATTTAAAAAATCATAAACTCCTTGAAATCTATTTAGAGACCCTTTCTATAGATCCCCAGGATAAGAACCCCTGCCCTAATGGCATGTAAGCTTGAAAGAAGGAACTGTTTCCCTTTTGTCTTTTTAGCACAATACCTTGAGTAAGTGCTTAATAATTGCTTTTTCATTCATTCACTATATTTGTTAGCATCCCTTAACAGAAAATAAACAAAAACATACCAGAAGGCAAACCCTCAAGCTAAACAGAGAATCAGTTCTATGTGGACTGGATAGATTCCAGGGTAGATTTCTAAAATAATGATAATCCACACAGTTGCTAGATCTTTAGAATCAGGTATGTGGACTTTCATTTCCCTATGGACATTGGAAAAAGGGATTTCCTAGTCCTCAAGCATACTCTTACTCTGTCTTAGATTTAGAGGGGGCTGGGTCCTCTATTTGACGTTGTGTCACATCAGATTATCAGTCACAGAATTTCAGAGCTTGGAGGGACCTCATCGAACATCTGGTTTTAACTTTTCCTTTTCTAGAGGAGAAAATTAAGGACCAGTGAAGTGAAAGGACAGAACCCAGTTCTCTTGGCTTTCAGTCAAGAGTTCCTGTCACGATACTACTCCCATATAAACATAGTTAAAATGATGAGGTGTAGGATACTTTATGTATTTATATCTTTATCATTTCCAAAGTGCTTTCATATACATGTTCTAATTTGCTCTCCTATGAAGCAAACAGAGCAGATATTATTCCAATTTTACAAGTGTGGAAACTCAAGGCACATATTGTTATTCCTGTCTTTATAAATAAGAAAACTAAAACTCACTACAGGAAAAAGAGAAGGACTTATAAGAGTTGGGAGATGTAGGTTCTAATCCCAGCTCTATCTCTTATTAAATAATCAGTCAACAAACATTTATTCAGCCTTTCTTACTTGTGAGGCACTGTACTAAGTTCTGGGGATACAAAGACATAATCAAAATTGTTCCTGCACTCAAAGAGGCTATATTCTACTGGAAGAGACAATATGTACACATATTGGTATATTCAAGACATATGCCAAGCAGACCTATGATAACCTTTGTCAGGAAGGCCCTAACTATAGGCCTTGGGCAGTCTGTGAACCCCATGTACTATTGTCTCTTCATCTGTAAAATAAGGGGATTAGATTATAATAGGAGCATAGATCTAGAACTGAATGGAGCCTTATTAGTTATCTAATACAACCCCTTTTACAGTTGAGGAAACTGAGGCTTCGGGAGGTTATGTGACTTGTCCAGGGTCACACAGGTGGTAAGCACCAGGGACTTTCTCACTACCAAGGTCAATGATTTTGATTGTGTCAGTGACTCTGTGATTCTAAGGTGACTTGCCCAAGTTGGTTGTGGCAGAGCCAAGTCTAGAACTCAGGTGCCCTGACTCTCAGCTCAATGCAATTTTCACTGGGCAGTGCTACCTTTCATCTAAAATATAGACTCACCAAAATCCACCTCAGTTTACTCAATACCAGCTCTCATAGTCCCCTATATTACAAGGCCTGCAGAGCACAGGTAAGGATCTAAATCAGGACATGCCTAGAAACCCACCTGCTAATAAAATAGACAGGAAAGAAAATTGAGAAACAGCAAGATGCTAACCATGCTGAGACAGAAAGAACTATCCCTACAGGAAGATATCTTATATTGAATTTATGAAGAAATAACCATCCAGGGAAGAGTGAATTGACTATTTCCCTAGGGAAGGTAATGGCTTATAATACAAGGCTATTGGAGAACTGAGGAGGCATGTAGAATTTTTGGGTGATGTAGAGATCCCTCAGGCAGGAAAATCTATGAATAGTTCTAATAAAGAGAGAAACAGGTCAAGTGAGAATAATAGCCTGACCTAGTTTTTTCCTCAGTTCTTTCTCCCCTTTGCCTTCCTTATCCACTGTTATAAGCCCCTAGTTGTAGAAGTTGATTTCAACTAGGTGGTAATTTCAAGGTTGGCCCACTTGACTCTCTTGATGTTAGAAGGTGCTCATGGCAGAATTTTATTAACAAGGGGCTTTCTTGGCACCCTTAGGAGGCCCTAATCGTCACACCCAATCCCATGGAAAACACCACATCTTCAAATAAAAAACAGCATCTACTGAGGGAGTAAAATACACAGGTTAGCACTATTGGGTAGAAAACCAACTGAAAACATCTACCTTCCCTTCCCCACATGTGTCTGCCCTCCAGAGTATCAGTCCAAGAGACTTTTCAAGTCAAAGCTCTTTCCACTACTCCGTGTTTCCTCACCTATCTTTGCCTTTAAAATAAACTTCCAGCAAGGGAAAGAACATTGCTTATGTAGACAGACAATCTGGCTTCTAATCCTGGTTCTGACCCTACCTGTGTGACATTGGACAAGTCAAAACTTCTTTTGGGCCCCAGCTTCCTCATTTGCAAAATGAGAATGTTAGTAGATGATCTTGATTGCCACCCCCCCCAACTATGAACCTTATGTGTGACCTTGAGTCTCGGAACTACTTCCTTCAGAGCCTTAGTTTCCCTATCAGTAAAATAAGGGAACTGGCCTAGATAATGCCAAAGCTAACTTCTAAGTCCAGATTGTGATTTTCTGTAAAACAACTGACTGGTTTCATTGAACAAGCTTTATTGAAGGCTAATGGTGAGTTAAGAGCTCACTCACTTGGTTGAGACTTTGCCTTTGCCTCTCCCCCAAACTGCTTTTGTATCCTTAAAATATCCTTTGTTGCTCTTTTACTTATCAACCCAAGATTTGATTCCTGATCTTGAGACTGGAGCCTATTTATTCATTAATGGTAATCATAGAATGGACTCATAAGACCAGCGATGACCTAGAGATAGCATGTAATCCATCCATTTGCTTTCAAGCCAGAACATGCCTATATGAGATTAGACAGAAGAGAACCTACAATATACAGTAACATCTAATTTATCCTACACCTTCAGCATTGGAGTATTCCACAAACTGAATTTTACAGATGGTTACCCCTTTAAATATAGAATGCATTTTTAAAAATACCTCTTCATGATAGAGGTCTTTCTAAAATGGAATATAGTATTGTTTTAGGAAGCTGAAATTATTAAATACAACTTTACCTTTCCTTGAAGGTAGCTAGGTGGTATAGTATATAGAGTGCTGGGTTTGCAGTCAGGAAGATCTGAGTTCATATGTGACCTCAGACACATGCTAACTGTGTGACCCTGAGCAAGTCACCTAATCTCTGTTTGCCTCAGCTTCCTCATCTGTAAAGTGAGAATAATAATAGAACCTCATATGAAGTAAGTGCTATATAAATGTTAGCTTTTTAAAAAATTAAACAATGAATTTCAAGACAGGACCTGAGTTCAAATCCCAATTCTGTTATTTTTTTTATGTCCAAGAAAAGCGCTTAACCTCTCTGATCCTCATTTTTTTTCCATTCATAAAATGAGTGGGTTAGTCTAGATCAGGGGTTCTTAAACTTTTTTGTAGATTTTCTTCTCTTCCTTCACTGTCAGGCTGGCCAGCATCACCCTTTAATGCTGTCAGTGTACCATTCTTTAGCATCCTTTCTTACCCTTTATTAACCTTCTCCTCTTCTATAGGCTGGGAAACCAGATTACCACCTTTGTTTAGAAATATATGTTAATTAAGAATAAGTGATTTTAAGGTATAGAGTCTATAGAATGTCTTGACCATCCCCTTTTATTTTCTGTTACTTGTATTTTTCAGAAAAGTGAGGAGTACACTATATTTGCTTTTCATGTAATTTTATTTTGAAAGGGACATTTGAAGGTCACTTTATCCAACCCTCTCCTTATACATTAAACTCTTCTACAAAATCTCTGAAAAGTTTCCATGCAGATTCTTTTTGACCTCCTTAAATGTCAGTTTCACTTTAGGATAGCTCTCATTTTCAGGAAGTGTTTCCTTACATCAACCTGAAATCTGAATCTTTGTAACTTGTACTCATTGCTCCTAGTTCTGCTCAGTGCTACCAAGGAGAATGAATTTTATCTCTCCTTCATGTCATAGTTTTTCAAGTACTTTAATAAACTGAAATAAAAAAAAAACATGATTTAGATGCCACAAAGTTTAAAGTCAGGATAGAATAACAGGCATCTGGAAGCAGGGATGAGAATTCTCTCATGGGCAATGCATAAATTGCTATTCACCTAAATCAAAACTGACAGATACATTTGCGTGCATGCTCACCTATGGGAGTGAGCAGAGGAGGTGACATTGGGGAGCAGAGGAGGAGACAGTAAGTGGTTCTGCAGAGAGAAGGAAGCAGCAATCCAAATTCTTCTTTTGCATATTCCTGAGATAATCTATTTTCATGCTTTGGACAGCAGGTGGTGCACTCTCTCCTTTTTACAGAACTCCAGGACCATATACTCAAATCCATAGGCATCCACTGGCCGTTTACTATGTGCTCAGCCCTTTCCCTGCCAGGCACTATGGAAGATAAGATTTCTGCAGTTTCATTGATATTTCCTTTACCATCACAAATTGCAAGCCTCGCATGCCACAGTGAAACAAAAACAGGGGAACTAGCTCTGGGCTGTGAATTAGGATACTGGGGATCATGTTCCAATTCTGCCAATAATTGGACATGTGTCTTAGCACCATTACTTCCCCCCTCTGACTTTCATTTTCTCCATCTGTAAAATGAGGGGTTGGACTAGAATCAGGGGTGGGGAACCTGAGGCCTTAAGTCTACATGTGACCTCAAGGCCTCAGGTTCCCCACTCCTGGACTAGATTGTCTTTAAGGCCTTTTCCAACTCTAACAATCTCTGAACCTGGGCCTTGGAAGAGAGCTGCTGTTATCAAAAAAGAATTGATTACTTTGTAACCACCCTGGTCAGAAACTTCTCTCACCCCTCACCCCACCCCACCCCCTCCCCACCACTGAAAATGGTTCTCAGGAGATACTCAAAGCCTATTGCTGGGGTCATCCCCAAAATCTTTCTGACTTGGTAAAACCTGTTACTGAATACTTCTCTGAGGAGGACTTGAGTAGAGGTGGGCTATTGCACATTCTAATTAATCAAAGCTTTCTTGCATCTGAAACTTTGGCAAGACAGGTAAATTCTCAGAAAACAAGTCTAGATCAAGAATATCCATTCAGTAAGTCAGCTTACTCAAAGTCTACTAGAGTTGGGTCAGATTCAGACACATACCTTGGGGCTTTCTGGGTTGATTGTACAATGCTCTTTATTAATAAGCAGTCAAGAAGACCTTAGTTCAAATTCTGCCTCACACACTTCCTAGTTATGTGACCTCAAGTTAATTTCTCACTTCTCCTGGCCTCAGATTTTCCTCATCTCCAAAGTGGGATAATAGCATTTAACCTCACAGTCTTGTCTTAAATATCCCAAATGGTTTTAAGCACTTTATAAACCTTAAAATGGTATGTAAATGCTTGCTCATTCTTCTAAAAGACTGCTGCTCCAGAATCCATATACATAGACCAACCCCAGGAGGTTATTGATATTAAGAACCAACAATAATATGGCACCTTATGATTCCCTCACCACAACCCTGGGAAAGAGATAGTATTATTCCCACTTGTGAAGAAGAAGATATGAGTTCAGAAAAGTTAGCTGATTGACCAAAGGTCACCCAGTTATGAAGCGGGAGAGTGACAACTCAAACAAACCCTGAACTTCTAATTATGCATCTAAGAAGCTTTTTTTAAATTTTTTTTTTAACACAGTGTTGAGGCTTCTGAAACCCTCATGACAATGAAAAAAACTTGATGTGAATATAGTACTTTATGTTTTACAAAGAACTTCAGAGATCTCATTTGTTTCTCAACAGAAGCGTGTGAAACAGAGCAAGTTATTTTACAGATAAAGAAACTAAGGCTCAGAAAGGCTAAGTGATTTGCTTCAGACACTTACAAGCTTTGTGACCCTGTGCAAGTCACTTAACCTCTCTGCTCAGTTCCCTCATCTGTAAAATGGGGACAAAAATTACACTTATCTCCCAAAGTTGTTGTGAGAATCAAATGAGATAATATTTGTAAATTGCTTAGCATAGTACTTAATACATAGTAGATACCATATAAATGTTAGTTGCTATTATTACTTTTGAATGAAAACTTTAACACACTAAGAACAGCTATGTAATTAAGAGTGATTTAGGCCTGCATGGGAGCTATTCTGCTTACAAACTCACGAATCCCATTTTATTCCTTTTTTATCCCTGTCATTCCAGGTGGTGGGCATTTTCGCTGGCTTTGGCCTTTTGCTGTTAGTGGCCTCCCCTTTCCTGTTACTGGCGACACCCTTTGTCCTTTGCTGCAAATGCAAGTGTCATAAAGGTGATGATGATCCCCTGCCAACCTAGACCCAGGGAAGACTGGACTCATGCCTTTGGGGGAACATGGTTCTCCCCTCCTCCCACTCCCTCCCCTGCCCTCGCACTCCCCATTGTCACAGCCTCACGTGCCCCATCCTGCTTCCCAGCGACACATGGTGCCATGATTCTGGGGACTGATGTCAAGGCAGTTGCAAAGGCTTGCAGAGGTCCAGCAGGAATGTGGAAGATAAGTCAGGCACGGAGTATCTGTTGTACAGGGGAGAAACATGTCAGCAGATTTTTCAAAGGGAGACATAGCCGGTAAAATATGTGATAACTTTGTATGTCCAGAGACTATGGGGAGGGAGGCCAAAATGGCAGATCCATAGCCTAAGAGATATTCAATCGCAAAGCATTGTCCCTTTATACCAATCAGCATCAAGATGGGATCCTCCTCAGTAGAGAAGGGATTTGAGAATCACTTGCCACTTCAAACAGAATCAGTGTGAGCAGATTTTGGAGAAGACCCCTGTTGATGACGCTCCATTTTATAGTTGGCATTGCCAAATCCTTTTCAGTGGGAGTCTTTTTTTTTTTTTCATCTGGACAGTAGAAATTGACCGGCTGCCTAGAAACCATTGCAAGCCCTTTTTGAAGGTGGAGGGGGAAAGAGGATCATGTGGGAGGAGAGGAAAATTGCTGCCTCAAGACTTGTCCAGCTTTGCTGCATTTTGAAGCATTTAGAAAGTCTCGTGTGCTTTGTCTTGTTCTGATGTCTTTTGAAAAGCTGTTAGTTGGAATAGGGAGGGACACAAACCTCCCCCATAGATGTTCTTCGTGAAAATTACTGCCATGTTTGAAAGAGCATCCCTGTCGGTCTTTCTGAATTTATATGGCTGTTTAAGGATGCACCCCACACATAGGGCTCATAATTTCTTATACAGGTATCAGGATTCTTTTTATGTCTCTAAACCAAATGTGTAAATAGTTCAGTTCAGAATTGCTAGGGTTTAAGAAACCTGAAGCAGCTTGCTTCTGTCTTATTAAACAAGGAGAAAGAACAGTGCGGTGTTACTGTCTCATTCGCTACCTGCAGACTCACTCAAAGCCCAGCAGGGATTTCTCCTTTAGAAAGCAAGAAAGTTCTCATCTTTGTGAGACTAGAAGAGTTCCTGGAATTTGTATTTCACTTTCAAAAAGGTATTTAGCTATTTTAAAAAAAATACTTTCTTGTCCCAGTGCTGTTAGTAGTCCCACTATGACCAACATCCCCCTCCACCCCAGCCCAACAGCCATTCAGTTTACTGTCTTTTGGGGTTTGGTTATTTTGTCAACTCTGGTGCTTTGTGATGGTTTCCAACATTCAGAAGCTACCTGGAGGCACATAGCACACAATCAACCATAAAATGCAAATTACTCAGCATATGAGCTCCGAAAAGAATAGAAATTGTACACTTTGAAAGTGGTTTGTGATAAAATAGACTAAGAGCTACAAATGTTTTATGAAGGCAGACTGACAGCTTTGCTTTTGTCACAGAAATATAATAGGTCCTATTACCATTAGGCTGGTTCTTTATACCATGCTACGTTCCCTGTTGCTTACATGATCTGCTGTCCATGTAAAAAAAAAATCAATCCGTGGCTTTTTATTAGAGATATTTTTCTTCTTCTTTAGAATTCTATGGACAAGAAGCAATCTTCCAGATAGATTTAAGCAAAAAAATCCCTGCTTAGGATAAGAGTTGGCAAGAGCTTTCTAGATCATTTGAACAAATCCCTTCCTTCATTCTTCAAAGGAGGACTTGGGCCAAGAGAAGGGTTGTGACTTGAACAAAGTCATTCTAGCAGTAATTAGAAGAGCTAGGGTTGGGATCAAGGGGACCTAAGTCCCCAAGACCAGAGTGGTTTCTACCACACTGTCTAACTTTCCCAGTTATTTCTATCAGTTTTTCATTTGAATATTTGAACATTTATCTCACTTCTCAACTTGTCTTTCTGAAGGTAGAAATTTTACCCATGTTGAAAATAGGGCACCATTCTGTTTCCTGCCACATTTCACCCATAGGGAATTACAAAATAAATTGTCTCTCTTTCACTTCTCTGTCAAGTTTACTAGGGGAACTAAGTCCATTTTGAAAGCTAGTTGATATCCAATTTACATTAATTTTTACTTCCCCTCCAAGTGATTATTTTAAAATTTACCATTGACTAAATAATAAAACCCTTGAGATAAACCCACAGAAGACTGAGACCCAAACTGTGGGTGTGTTGTGCATAATTGTCAAGGAGGCCCCTGGGTAGAGTTCTTTGATAAATGGAAGGAGGGGATTGAAATCACCTTGGAAAGCATTATATAAGAAGTAACTACTGACATAAATGCTAGGAGCCTCAGCAGAGACTCCATGAATTAAATAGCTAGAAGAATGATCAGCAAACTACCACACAATGCATGGCCAATGGCCAGCTTTCCATCACATTTGGGCTGATCACAAGGCCTGTGCCCTTCTCCCTGCTGCTTACAACGGCCACTGCTCATGTCAATAATCACAGTCATTAATACTCTTCCTATCCTCCAAGTGTTAGCATACATATACCCTTATCCTGGCTCATCAAGCTTAGGTTTTAGCGCTTAGGAATTTTAGGATCTTAGAATCAGATTCATAGCAGTGACCTTTCAGGTCATCTAATTTAATCCTTATCCAGTAGAAGAGTCTCTTCTGTCATATTCCTAATGATTGGTTGTTCAGCCTTTGCTTGAACATTTTCAATGTCAAGAAACTTACTGTCTCAACAAGGCAACCCATTCTGTTGATGTAACAATTTCACTGTAAGAAAATTCATCCTCATGCTAAAGGATTTTACATAACATAATTTACATCATAACATCTTCCTAATGATTTATAGCTGCAGCGATGAAGCCTCAGATGAATCGTATCCTTTGATCATTACAACTCTCTGAGGTAGGTAGTGTATTATTAGCCTCGTTTTGCAAATGAGGAAACAGAGGCTCAGAGAAATTAAACTATTTGCCCAAGTCTCCACCATTAACTCGTAGTAATATTTAAACTTGAAGCAAAGCCTTCTGACTTTAGTCCAGTGCTCTTTCCACTTTGCCATTTTGGAAAGGTTGCCAAAGGTCCAAACTCCATCAATTATTAAACGATCAGGTTTCCCTATCAAGTATGAGCCCCATTGCTTGAGGCGTGGAGTCAGTTCCACCTGGGCTAAGATGTCCATTTATATCCCCACTTGGAGTTGTACCTTGGACTCTGATTTTCAGTGGGCACTTAGTTGATAGTGGCAATAATTTTTTTTCTTTAATGCTTTGAAGTTTCTGAAAAATTTTCATTACAACATCCATTAGCATAAACATTGTTACCCCCATTTTTCTGATGAGAAATCTGAGGGTTAAGGTTATGAAGTGACCCACCTATGGTCACATAACTATGGAGTAGGCCATTTCAGACACCAGCCTCAGGGACTTAAGTGTAAAAGGGAATATTTCTAGGAAAAAATTTCATTGTTGGCAGCCAGAAAAGTGTGTAATTGTTTCAGTGACTGGTGGGTCTTATGTTCTGCCCTGAGCATACCTTGGGGTCTGGGTTTGATTTCTGAGACAAATGTCATCTGCCTTACTTTGACATAATCATTTATGCTGACACATCTATGGCATCATGTCACGTCTGATTTCACTGATACCTCGCCAGTTTTCATTGAGCCAGTTTTGTCTTTAGTGGGAAACAAAGTTCCTTCTATGAGTCTCTAATGAAGAGGTATCTCAGTATGATGTAAAGAGTGCGAGACAGAGTCAAGAAGTTATGGGTTCAAATTCCCCCTTCAAAACATTCTAGCTATGTGACTATGGGCAAGTCACATTGCCTTTCTGAGACTGAGTTTTCTTATCTGTAAAATGGGTATAATAATAATAATACCTCTAGTATCTACCTCATAGGATTGCTGAGAGGCTCAAAATGGATAATGTACGAAAAATGTTTTGCAAACCTTAAAGCTGTATATCAGAATTAGCTGTTGCGATTACTGCTATTCACTCTCATTAGCATATCACACTGGGTCAGAAACTTGTTCTCTCCTGCAGCACCCCAGTTAACTCATAAATTAGGGCATTCTTTCCATTGATGCCGTAGATGCCTTCCCAGCCTGTGTGACTTTGATATCTGATTTGCATAAGCTCCACAAGGTATGATCTGCCTAGTTTTACCAGGGTCTTTCTTGCTTTCTTGTGGCATCAAAGATAACAGTGGAGAAGGAAGGCTGTGCAGAGGCTAGCCCTCCCACTCTCTACATGTGCCCATCACACATTGTTAACTGCATTTGTAGCTCTGAAAGCATAAGATACGTAAAACTGGAGATGAAACCCATGACAAGATTTTTGAACCTGACACCCAGCAGAAGCTTTGGGAGCAAACTCCTTGCTCATGGATACCATTAACAATCACTCACATTCCTGTAGTACTTCGGAGTTTACAGAGTATTTCCCTCACAAAACCCCTAGAGAGTTAAGCGGTGTGAGTAATAACTATCCCCGTTTCCCACATGAGGAAACTGAGGCTCAGAGAGATCTTATGCTTATGACCATAAGGCCAATCAATGTAAGGGCATGGACTTCAGCCCAGCCATACTTCCTTAAAGCCCAACATTCTTCCATGAGATGATGGATTTAGAACTGGAAGATGCCATAGACACTATGTAGTGTAGCCACCTCATTTTAGAGAAGAAATAGATCTAGAATGATGAAGTTACTTGCCCAAATCACATTGGAATTAAATGACAGAATAGGAATTTGAACTCAGGTCCTTCAACTTTCCTATGACATCACCTCTACAGTACTGCATTGCCTCTTGCATAGATTGACAGCACAACATTAATTTCATGTTAGTCAATTCCACACTGTTCTCTTCATTTGCATTCTCTTAATCCTTCAACTTTATTATATCATTTGCCTTGTAAGGTAATAATGTGACTGCTTTATAACACTGGGGTGAGAAGGGACAAACTAACCATGTTACTTACATCAATCCATCTTTCATGAATTGCTCTTGACTGGGGGTGGGGATACACAATGCAATTTCTGGTATATCTAAATCACTGCGATAAGCCAGTTTAACTCAAATGAATCTGGGATCTCATGGATTTGGAAGTCCCACCCTCCTCAGTGATACAGATCATAGCTGCCTTGTCCTGTTGCTCCAGGATGCCTGTTCGTCCTGGGCTACTCTTGTCTGTGTCCTCTCCAAAGTTCAACACCTTAACACACAGTTTTATTATACTTGAGAGATCCTCCTGCTTGGATTCATCCAGAAGGTGCTGTTACTCACCTGACTTGGCCTCAGTTTCTGTTGCCCAAGGCAGCTGCCCTCAGGGATGCTCTTGCCTCTGAAACGAGGAGGGAAAAATTTGAAGTGAGAACCAAGCTGTTAAAGGACCTTATAAGGGACATTCAACTCCATTCCTTTTTTTCCCCAATACCACAAAATTGAAAAATCTTTCTCCCCACTCCAAGAATGGGGTCAAGAATACATTTTCCAGAACACCTGATTTTAGAACTGGTCAGATTTCCTGTTTGGAAACCTAGGTCCCTGGAAAAAAGCGATGCCTAGCAATGCACTAATTATATAAGAACTAAGATAATATTTTCCACTGGCATTACAGTGAAATCTCTTCCCGTATCACAAAGGAATACTGCCCTTGGTCTACTTAAAAATTAAGGTCTCAACACAGCAACATATTTGTGGGTGGAATCTGTGTATGTTTCTCATTCTTTTTTTTTTTTCCTGAAAACATGACCATTAAAATATCAAGAGAATACACATAGTATGTGTGAAAACCAAAGCTTATGTACTTCTTATAACTAACCTAAGCCCTTATGAAAATGGACAAAACAATGAGTTTGCTATAAACATTATGAATGATGTCCAAGGGAGGCAAGAAGACCAGCATTAATACAGAATCATTAAAGTGCTTAAATAGAGCATGCCCTGTTTGTGTCTTAAGCCTTCCTGGATTTTATTCTGGCTTTGGTTTGTGAAACCTCTTCATCCACAATTCCAGGAAAATTAGGTGCAGGTATGTGCTATATGACCCAACCTTTTTTTTTTTCCTTGCTTATTTACCGTGGACGTATTTTAACCCTATATAGAGATATGCATGAATGAGTCATGCAGTTGTATAAATTATGTATTGCACCAGTGGTGGTTTAAAAAAAGGAAAAAAATGTTCGGTTTGTGTGTTTGAAATGTAAGTACATTTTGTGCCACTAACACTGTGATGTATAAAATGAGCTGTTTGAATGCCTTTTAATGTTGTGTTTTGTACTTGGAATCATATTGAAAAGTTTAATTTGTAATTTCAATACATATTTTAAATGATTGTGTCTTTCGTGATTTTTTTTTTTAGTTTTTAAAGGGGAAGTCTCTTTCCAGGTTCTCTTTGTCTGATGTAAAATTTTGGAAATGTACCCTCAAAAGGAACATGTACATAATAGACTGAGAATGGACTCAGAGTTAAGAAGATCTGGGTTCAAGTTTGGCTTCTCACAAATACCACCTTTGTGGCCCTAGGCAAGTCCCTTAATCTCTTAGTGCCCCAGACACCTTTCTGAGAATGGAAATTGCACAGTGGTTGCTGTTATGCTTTGACTGAGGGAATTCTCTTGCCCAGAATTCCCTATGTTGACACAACCAAATGTCCAGTAAAAAAAAAGAAAGAAAGAAAGAAAAAGAAACATGAAAAAACTATTTCCATCAATTGGTCAATTACTGAGTACCTGTTGGGTGCCCAGAGTAGTATTAAGTTCAGGAAAATAGTCTGTTTGTAAAGACTTCCTTATTAATGTTGTTTTTGTAGATACTAAGGGGAAAATGGGCCTCACTGATGGAAAACAGATGGCTGATTAAAATGCATCTCAAAGAACCTTCTACATTCCAGGGAATGAAGTGTTGGTATTCTAAAGTTTCATCCTTTTTAGACTGTTCCATTATCGTTTAATTCACAAATATCTTTATAGATGAAGAAACTAAGGCACAGAGAAATTACTAAAGAGTGACTTCACTGAGACTCTTCTATGTGTGGGAGATGGGATTCAAATCCACCTCTCTTTTAACCAACTTTCCCTTTACATTATTGCTTATTGACTTTCACTTTTCACTGAGGTGAAATAGATTTCAATTGCCATAGAAGGAAATGGACAGCTTTGGGAAGGAAGTTACTTAATCCAGAAAATAGTCTCTGCCTTTCTTTTTCATTTTCTTTCCCTTCCTTCCTTCCTTCCTTCCTTCCTTCCTTCTTTTCCATGGTTAAATAGTACTGGATTTGGAATCAGAAGTTTCCAATTCAAATACAATCTTTGTCATTTATTCTCTGTGAGCTCTTGAGCAAGTGACTAATGTTCTAGGATTTCAGTTTTCTCATCTGTAATGTAAAAGATGTGTATTAGAAGACCTCTAAGCTTCTTCCCAGCTCTTAATCTGTGCCACTAAGATAAGAAAGGTATTACTTAAAAAGACACCTTCCTTAAAGTTAAGGATTCTTGAGTTAGATCTGCATCAGACACATGGTCGTCTGTGTGACCATGGCCACTTCTTAACCTCTCAGTGCCCACAGGTCTCCAAGTAATTAAGTTATGGGTGGGTTATGGATCTACATTGATGGGAGACCAGGGAATTTTCAACAAGGGGATTTCTCTATGCCTAGGACCTCCTAGGTCTAAAAGACCTTTCCCTACCCCCCCCAAAAAGCAATAATCATAGTGCCAATACCTGTGTCTGTCCACAAATAGAATTGTGAAAGTTTTTCCTGAAGGCAGAAAAAAAAATGTTCTCTCTACAAAAGTCTTTGACAGTAGCATTACTTGCTAGTGTTAAGACAATGCTGTATGTTCTTTATTCCTATTTAGGTTAGGAAGTGATCTGGATTTTCATGAAATGCATCTTTTTGCCTTCCATAAATTCTCATCTAAGCCTGGCATTAGTAACTTTAAGGCACTTGCCCAGTAGGGTGATGAAAATCTCTAACTTAATGAGTTAGACTTTTGAGTTAGATTAGCTTGTCATTTTTTAAAAAAATTCTATATAGGTTATAGATGGGGGGAAAATATTAAGTGAATGAAAATTTTTCTGAAAAGCTTTTGTTCATACCTCCTATTCTGAAATTTAATTCAGTAACATTTATTAAGTAACCTTTTTTACACTTCAAATATTTATTAAGGTTTTAGCATAGACATTCCTCATAATGTTAAAAACTGAGCTACATCACTAGCTTCAACTCCTCAATCATAGAGGATGCTCTTCTTGCGCTAACCTTGCCCATACCTCCCCCACCACCACCACCACCAAGTAACATAAAGGAGTCCAAAAATTAAATTCAGTTGGTCCAACTTTAGGGATTCAAGTATCATTCCAGTCAAAGGACTTAGGTTTAAATCCCAGATTTACCATTTATTATCATTGTTGCTTTAAGAAAGTCATGACATCATAGATCTAGAGGCCACCAGGTCCAATCATCTCCTTTTATAATTAAGGAACAAGATATTAAGATTGTTCAAGGTTATAAAGGTAGTAAGCAGCAGATCCAACAGAACCCAGATTCAAGATATTGTGTGCAACCACACTGCTAGAACTCTGGCTCATGATCTCCTACCGTGCTCCTTTTGATAATCTGACAATTAATTCAAAGCAAAGATATTTGCTGAAATGGCATTGTAAGAAAAGTAGCAACACACACCTCCCCCATAAACCTAGTCTACACTCTCCACAAATATACATAGCATCAGTGGGAAGATGGATATTCGTAAAATTTATTAGTAGAGAGTCACACATAGTAAGAATAGATGTGTCTGGGGCCACTTAAGTCTCTAGTGCTAGTAGGCTTGCTGA